CAGTTCTTGGGACTTTTGGCTAAGATCAAGTATATTATTGTTCATCTCTTAGTGTGCCTAATTTATAAATTAAATTTCATCCCAGGTATGTTTATATAAGAAAAAATTTAATATATGTAGGGTTATATGTAGGGTTCTATCTACACTTTTAGGCATCTACCAAGGTTCTAGGAACATATCTCCTGGGGACAAGGGTGGGGGTGGCTACTGTAACTACAAATTAACTATGTTGAAGTTTAATTTATTTGACTCAAGCCAACAAATGGTGAAGTATACTGAGACAGGAATCTTAACTCTCCTTTCCCATCTTTCCTCTTCTGTTATAGACTTCATTGTGGGAGCATGCGACAAAACTATGACTTTGTAATTAAGGCTATAATGAGATCTCTCTGTCGTAAGCTATTACTAACATTTGCTACAATTCATCTAGTTCTGCCACAAAGCTTTTTTTTTTTTTTTTTTTTTTTGCTTACCAGAAAATTCTCATGTAGTCTCAAGCAAGCAAGAAATATTTTGGGAAAGTCTGAAGACAAGAATAAGTAGGTCTTATGAACCATATTATGGAATTTTTCTTTAAAGAACAATTCACAAATAAATCCCAGATAAAACAGACCTGAATATGCTTTCAAAATATAGGGGAAAAATACATATATTATACTTCAAGTTAGTTCTGGCATTCAAGTCTCAGGAAGGAAGGAAGGAAGGAAGGAAGGAAGGAAGGAAGGAAGGAAGGAAGGAAGGAAGGAAACTGCACAGTAACAATACAATTCATTATTGCTCCTTCCAGGGCTCTGACACTAGTAAGATTTTTAATAAATTTAAGGGACTGTGGTCAGAAGAAACTGTCAAACTTTTTATCTAAGTGAACATTTTTAGAAAATAAGGGCAAGCAAAGAACACTTTGTATATCTAGTCTAACTGATTTCTCCATTTCTCTTTAGTTTAAAGACAATGACATACCTCATGTTTATTTAAAAATTGTTTACAAAAACCCTTTTTCATGCTTCTATTTTATCCAAAAACTCATTGCTGAGTATCTATAATGTAGGAGATACTACGCTCCATCCAGTAGGTTTTGGCTCAAAGTAAACAGAGTTAAGTGCAGGAGTCAGATATACAAGCAAGTGATTCCAGTACAGTGCAATAGAGCTGGAAGTGGGCCAAAGAAGTAAGGGAGTGAGTGTATGAGTGAGTACTGGGTAAAGGTCATATTTGAACCGGGTCCTGAAGAATAAACATGACTGTATCAATAAGGTGATTTTTGATGGCAAATAACTCCAAAGGAATGGCTTCAACATAAGGATTTTATCTGTCAGGTGATGAAATGCCATGGAAGGCAAAGCCCCAGGCTCCAGTATAAGTACAGTATGTGTCTAAAATGATGTTATCATGGACCTACGTGCATTCTCTCTGATCTACCATTCTCCAGGCATTTTTATCATCCCTTGCAGTCACAAGACAGCTGCCAGTGGCAACTGGGATCACGTATTCTCTTGTTCATATACAATAGGGGGGAAAAAAGTCCTCGCCCCCAGAAATAAAAATGTCTCCTTCCCTTCAATCTGACTGGGACAAATAAGAGTTTACAGGGAAATGCCTTGAGCTGACTGGCTTGGAGTAATCAAAATCTACCCCTGGAGTAGGTGATGAATCATCTTCTCAGAGTTTCCTGGATGACAAAGAAAAAGAACTCCAAGCACTGGAATAAACACATGAAAAACACAAGCACAGGAAACAAGAAAGAGCTTAGTATGTCTGGAGTGATGGGAAATCTAAGGCTGGAGACAGTCTACAAACTCTTGTGAGTTTGGACTTTGTCCTATAAGCAGTGGGAAGTTTTAACAAGGTTTTTCTTAAGTAGGGAGATTACCTAACCCAACTGGGTTCTTTAGAAACATAAATGTGGTAGCAATATAGAGAATATAGAAGGAGAGGGAGAGTGGGAGAACAAACGGCAGAGAAGTGGTCAGTAGGAAGTTCAATAGTTCACACTAATAAGAAAGTGGCAACAGGACAGGGAAGAATTAAATAGCAAAAACAAGATGGCTTTGTAAACTATTGTATTTTATGTATCGATGTATAACACACACACACACACACACACACACACACACACGGAAAATTAAGCCCCAGACAGGTTCAATGGCTTGCTTAAGATCAAACCTATAAACCGTAGTCAGAATCTGAACAGAGATTTGGTTCCCAGTACAGTGTTCTTTTACTTAACTATACCTAAAAATTCCAACAATGCTCAAAAAACTTTCTTGAATCTGTAATGTAAAGGATGCTCTATGTATTGGATTAAAGTGATTCCTATTTATTCCAATCCTAACATATTGTTCACTACATGGATTCACTATCAATTTACATAACAGTACATTATACGTTTTTGAAGTTTCTGTATTATTTGAGATAAGGATGTTATGAAAACTCAATTTGTAATGTCAAATTTACAGACTGTCAAAATTTTAAAAATTAAAAAAAAGGATACTAAAAACCACTGTAGTGTGCATTAAAAGAATTTTGAACTTGTTCTGCAAATAAACTAAGTACTAAATATTTGAAATGCATTATAAATCTGGAGTCAACAGGTAGCAGAAAAGTCACTTCTAAGTTATGTCTCCCTTTGAAACCTTGGCTTGGATTTTTTTTTTTTTTTTAAGATTTTACTTATTCATGAGAGAGACAGAGACATAGGCAGAGGGAGAAACAGGCTCCCCTCAGGGACCCTGGGAATCACAACCTGAGCCAAAAGCACTCAACCACTGAGCCACGCAAGTGCCCCTGAAATCTTGGATTCTGATAACCAACTTCCACTACCATCAACTTAAAAAGATGTTGCCTCACTTTTAAAGACACTTGTTTTAGAAAAAGTCACTTGCTTGTTTCTTTTTAGAGTAGTCTGATTTTATTTTACCACTGTACCAAGACTGGGTTAACAGGGAAGACAGTTTAAAATAAAAATAAATGCATTTCCATTAAAAAATTATTCGCAATACAGTTTTTAGCTTATTGGGTTAAATCTTAAGTCTTCTGCTTCTGAATTCAATGAATAGCTGTAGGGAGCACCTGTGTGCCTGGAACTATGCTAGATGCTGGGAATACAGCTGTGAGCAAAATCATACTATAGTTATTCAGGCATATATTTGTATGATTATTTGATTAGTGTCAGTCCTCCCTGCTGAATTAACTGTAGTACTACTTTTCTTCAGCCAAAACATAACTGCAAATGTACACAGATACCAAAAACATCAGCTGAGCATTAATATGTTATTTTGCCAATGATAGCAGAATTTGCCCTGTCACTAGGCTAGAGACACTATCAGCACCCTTAACTGAGATTTTTTTTTCTTTCATTAAAACATACCTGCTAAAACATTTAGCATACCAAGAAATATAAGGAAACTTTCAACATAATAAAGGAAAACTCACAGCTATCATCATACTGAATGGTCAAAGACTGAAAATTTTTCCTCTAAGATCAGGACAAGACAAGAATGTATATTTTCACCACTTTATTCAATATAGTACTGGAAGTCCTAGTCAGAACAATTAGGCAAGAAAAAGAAATAAAAGGCATTCAAATCAGAAGGAAAAAGTAAAATTATCTTTGTTCAAAAAGACATTATATTATACGTAGAAAATTTGAGATCACACACACATTCACACACCTGTTTGAATAAATGCTTTCAGTAAAGCTGCAGAAAACAAAATTAACACACAAAAATGAGCTATGTACATTAACAATCCAAAAAGGAAATTAAGAGATCAATCCTATTTATGATAGCATCAAAAAAAATAAAATACTGGGCATCCAGGGATCTAGTCCCGCATCAGGTTCCCTGCGTGGAGCCTGCTTCTCCCTCTGCCTGTGTCTCTGCCTCTCTCTCTGTGTCTCTCATGAATAAATAAATGAAATCTTTAAAAAAATAGATAAATAAAAAATAAAATACGAATAAACTCAACCAAGGAGATGAAAGACTTTTACACTGAAATCCATAAAATGTTGTGGGAAGAAATTAAAGATACAAGTAAATTGAAAGATATCTGGTGTTTAGGGACTATAAGATTTAATATGTCAACACTGCTCCAATCTATAGATTCAATGCAATCCCTATTTAAAAAATCCCAATGGCATTAAAAAAGGTTTGTGTTTTTGTTTTTTTGTTTTTGTTTTTTTTTGCAGAAATTGAAAAATGCATCCTGGAATTCATTTGGAATCTCAAAGGACCACAAACAGGCAAAACAATCTTGAATTAGAACAAGGCTGGAGGTCTCACACCTCCAGATTTCAAAAATTACTATAAAGCTACAGTAAGCAAAATAATGTGATACTGGCATAAAGACGGACTCACACACCAATAGAATAGAGTTCAGAAATAAACCCTTGCAGGGTATAATCAAGTCATTTTCAGTAAGGATACCAAAACCATTCAATGGAAAAAAGACAGTCTCTTCAACAAATGGTGCCGGGAAAGACTGGATATCTGCATGCAAAGACCTAAACGTAAGAGTTTTTTCAGGAGAAAGCTTCATAACTTTGGGTTTGGCACACAATTTCTTGGATATAACACTAAAAACATAAGCAACAAAAAAGAACTATGTAAGCTGGACTTCATCAAAATTAAAAACTTGTGCATCAAAGGACATTCAACAGAGTGAAAAGGTAATGCATGGAATCACAGACAATATTTGCAAATCCTGTACCTGGTAAGAGATTTGATATCCAGAATATATAAAGAATTCCTACAACTCAACAACAAAAAAAGCAAACAACTACACTAAAAAATGGTAAAAGAACTTAATACATATTTCTCTTTTTTAGAAGTAGAAAACTTGGTAAGTTACAATATGGCATGAGACATTAATGGTTGATGAGTATTTGAAGAACCTGAAAAATATGCTGCCCTCAGTTACCAGAAATCAGATCCTTGAAGTATTTGTTTAATCATTTCACGTATTTGTGCAAGTCCTGGGCACAATGAAGTGAGCAAGACACACAACAGTCTAAACACTTCACAAATTTGTGTGTCATCTTTGTGCAGGGGCCATGCTAATCTTCTCTGTATCATTCCAATTTTAATCTATGTGCTGCCAAAACAAGCACAATAGATATTTCTCCAAAGAAGATATACAAAAAGCTGATAAGCACCAGAAGAGATCATTAAACATTAGAAAAATACAAATAAAAACTACAATGGGGGCATCTGGCTGGCTTTGTCAGTGGATCACTGGACTCTTGGTCATGAGTTCTGAGTTAGAGCCCCACGTTGTGTGTAGCAGTTACTTAAAAAAAAAAAAAATTAAAACCCCACAAATCTACAATGACAAACCACTTCATACCTATTAGGATTGCTATTATCAAAAGAACAGAAAACAAGTCTTGGTGAGAATATGGAGAAATTGGAGCCTGTGTGCATGGTGGGAATGTAAAATTAGGGGAGTATATACCCCAAAGAAATGAAAAGTATAGACTCAAACGGACATTTGAACACCCATATTCATGGCAACATTATCCTTGATAGCCAAAATGTAGAAGCAAACCAAGAATCCATTGACAGATAAACAAAAATGGATGTACATACATACCATGAAATAATATTCAGCCTTAAGATGAAGCAAATTCTGACAAATACAACACAAATGAACCTTAAAAACATCATGCCAGTCACAAAATGATAAATATTGTATGATTCCACTTACATGAAGTACCTAGAGTACTCAAATTCATAGACAAAAAATATATAATGGTTGCCGGGGGTTAGGGGTACAGGTAAATGGGGTGTTAGTATTTAACAGGTATAGAGTTTCAGGTGGGGAAAATAGAGTTCTGGGGATGGAAGGTGGCGATGGTTGAACGACAATGTAGATGTACTTAATGCCACAGAACTGTACACTTAAAACTGGTAATGTCAAATTTTATGTTTATGTATATTTTACCACAATAAAAACAAAAACAACAATTGCCATGGATCCCTCCTACTGACTATCCTAGTCTAGGGTCTCATCTCTTCATATTTAATTAACTACAACAGCTACTTAGTCATTGGTGGTTCGTTCCATTCTCTCCCCGCTGGAACTCAATCTGTAGATCACTGACAGGTTCATCTTGCTGGTTTATCACGCTAATATCTGGCTTCTAACCTTTCAAAGGCTCCCCATATCTCGCCCAAGAAGATGCAAATCCATGTCTCCTCAATCTAGTAATCAAACTCTTCCACAGACAGATATCCTTCCAACTGTGTGATTTTTTTCCTTTCAGCCTTTCAAATTCAGGTATCAGCTCATCCAAGTTTCCCTCCATTCCCCTCACCCAAAGCTAATCTCCACATCATACTCTCACTTTTCCCTCAGAGAAACTGCTCCAGCATCTCTGTAAATCTAAACCTTCATAGGCTAGCTCAAGTCCCAAGTGTTCAGGAAGTTCTTTAGACTCCTGAGGCCTCACTCATCTCCCTCTAACCAGAACACCTACAGCATTCTTTGTATTCAGAGAATGTAGTAGATTGTCTCCTACACTCATAAGGGTAAACCTTATCTTTCCTGAGGGCAAAGTCTATATATTATACTTCTTTCTGTTCTCCTCTAGCGACTAATATAATGTAAAACGCAAAGCAGATTTTCAATAATCACCAGGGTAACGGAACACAAGGTACAACTTTGATACGTGAATTTCATTGACTAGAACATGATCAGAATTAATTGACATTATTGCATTTCTGAAGGTTAATTTGTGACACACAACAAAGAAAACTGTTGTAATTCAAAAAGAAAATACATGAAAGGTTGGTGGTATAACCTAGCAAATGCAACAAAGGTGTTTTAAATCTTAAAATCAGAGTCTGATACAAAACTTGTTTAAATGCTGGTGTTGGGGCACAGAACAGTAGAGCAGTTAAGGCTTTGTGGGACAGAATATTGACCTATGGATTTTACTGAATGCACGCAAGAATGAACCGTGCCTGTAATTGGGTGAAACTACAGTTACTGGCCTATGAAAATTCTAAATGAAATGTCAGTTTTATTAAATTCAGGTTAGGGGGAAAAAAATCTCATCAGCTAACCTGTGGTAACTGAGGGTAGCTGTCAGAATCAGTGAGGCTCTCTCATTTCTGCTTTCAACTTTACTGCACAAAGACCTAGGGACGGGCACTAGTACTGGTGGTGAAGAATGCAATCAACGAAGAATAAGAGGCTCGGGACTGTGAAAAGAGTTCTCTAAAATGGGAACATAGGGCAGCCCGGGTGGCTCAGCGGTTTGGCGCCACCTTCGGTCCAGGGCGTGATCCCGGAGACCTCGGATCGAGTCCCGCGTCAGGCTCCCTGCATGGAGCCTGCTTCTCCCTCTGCCTGTGTCTCGGCCTCTCTCTCTCTCCCTGTGTCTCTCATGAATAAATAAATAGAATCTTTAAAAAATAATAAATAAATAAATAAATAAATAAATAAATAAATAAATAAATAAATAGGAACGTAGAGAAGCCCAGATCCTAGTTTTGGCCCAATCCTCGGCCAGTTGTAGGACCCACGGCTAGTCACTCATCTCCTTGGGCCTAATTTCTCGGCTCTAAAACAAGTCATACCAGATTTCTAAAGGTTCTTCTGACTCCAAAATTCCAAGACAAGTTTAATCATAGCTTCTATTAACATGTATGATTCTCGCTATTTCATATTTCTCTCTCCCACAGTTCCAGAAGAAAGTAATGTATTTCAACAATCTGAAAGAAATGGATGCTATTCAGAGACAAAAGATTCTGCTCGTTGAAAACAAAACAAAACAAAACAAAACACGAAGTACTTCTGTAAAAAATGCCCATTTCCTCCTTACAGGAAGATGTTTTGGGCAGAGGGAACAGTTCTCTGGTGAAGATAACCAAGAGCGCTTCTGTAAATACGACCTAATCCAGAGTATTATCTGAGCTGGTGTGTGAAGAGGGTGCTATTGTAGTTCAAAGCAGAAGTAACACTCAGAGCTTCTCCAGAAGGACGGTGAGAAAGTTGCCATCCTCGGGGGAAGGCTGGTGAACAGCCGTGCGGAACGATAGGGCACTGGAAACGCACGCTCCTCGCCATTCAAGTACTCCCAGCTCACACGCAGTCCTTTATCAAACACCAGGTATTGTCTTCCTCCCAACCTGTCAAAACGCGATTGCAGCTGGATCCCGGGGCAGTAACTTACCGGGACGCTCGAACTTCCGCCCCCTCCCCGCAGCAGCCGTCCGCAGGCCCGCTCCCCCGCCTACTCCGGCCGGCCGCTCTCACGCCCACCCCGGGGCGGCAGCAGCCCCGCCGCCGGGTAAACACGCGCCCCAGTCTCGGGAGCGGTTTCCCGGCGTCCTGGGAGCGGCGGGTCCCGCCCCTTGGAGCCCGGAGCCGGCCGAGCCGCCGTCGCGGCCACCTCGGGCCGCTCTCCCCGCCCCAAGCGCCACACCTCGCGCCTCCGTCCCCGGGACGACGGCGCCACAGCCCAGTCCGCCCCTGGGAGCGCGCGGGGACCGGTCAGTCCGCCGCCGCCGCCGCCGCCGCCGCCGCCTCAGCCGCCTCAGCCGCCTCAGCCCCAGACCGACGACTGCCCCCTCCCCGCCGGCGGCCCGGCGCCCCCCGCGGCGGCCCAGCCCCAGCCCCAGCCCCAGCCCCAGCCCCAGCCGGCGCCCCCACCTCCTCGGCACGGCCCCTTCCGTGCCGGGACGCCCCGCGCCGCGCCGGGCACAGCCTCGGCTCCCAGCCTCACAGACACCGAGGGACGCTCACCCCGGAGGCTCCTCCCGCCGCTGCTGCCGCTGCTGCTGCTGCCGCCGCTGCGACCGCGGCCGCCGCCCCCGCCGCCGCCACCAGCACCGCGGTCCGCACCGGCGCCAGCGCCCCCGGCCATCCTCCTCCTGCCGCCGCCGCCCTCTCCGCTCCTGTCAGTGGCTCAGGCTCCGGGGCTGCTCCAGGTTCCCCTCGCCGCCATTTTGACTCCTAGAGGGAGCAGGAGGGGCTCGGCTCGGCGCGGCCCTGGGGCGCCTGCGCGGCGCTGCGGAGCCGGCCCGAGCCCCCGCCCGCCCCCGCCAGTCGCCGCGCCTAGGGTCACGTGGGCCGGCGGCGCGCCCGCGGCCGCGCGCGCCCGGGCCGGGCCGGAGAGGCGGGCTCGCGCGCAGGGGAGCGGCCGGCCCGAGTGCGCGCGCATTATTCCTTCCCGGCGCCGGGAGCGCGGCGCGGGACGCTCGGAGTTTGAAGCGCCGCGCGGCCCCCTGCCTACTCCGGGGAATTGTGACGCGTCACTCAGTGCATCAGAACGGAATTGTAGTAACTGCGTTACTGGACGACCGGTTTTACCAATTCACGCTGCCGTTCGGCCGCCGGCGTCCGGATGGAGCGCGCGTCCTGCATCCTTGCCGAAGAGACGACAGCGCTTCCGCGGAAAACTCCTTCCTGACGGTCTTGGCGTTTGGGTGACGACTGGGCGGTTTATCTTCACCTCTGAGGGGTACTTTTACAGACAGCGCCTTGCTCCTTGCTATAAGCCGATTTAAGACAACAACAACAACACCTCACAAACACAGAAAAGTTTTCCTCCTCAAAATGCTTCCGGAAGCGAGGGACAAGAAATGGTGCAAGCGCACCGATCTCTGCCCGGTAGGACCCAAATCGCCCTTCCCTCCAGGCCCCGCGCCTGGGAGTTTGCGGTCATTCCAGCCAACGCCGTAACCAAAACACCTTATGTTTATGAAGCACCTCGTAGTACTTTAAAACACCGCTAAATACAGGGCTTCGTTTGAACACCAGACCGCCCTTTGAAGTAGCCGTGGCCGGTTTACAGCTGAGACGTGGGCTAAGAAACACTCAGTCGTTTGCCCCGGGGCACACGCGCAGCCTGAGGGAGTCGTCGTGGCAAGCCCAGACTAGAGCTCCAGACAGCCTGACCCTGGTCGTGACCCTGGTCGCCAGGCGCATCACCCCTCACAGTTCTCAGGGAGGCCTTAGAGATACCTGATGTATTTGTTTATTTAAAATCCTTTTTAAAATGTTTGCGTTTTTAATCTCTACCCATCCTCTGAGAAACAAGTTTTCCAAGTAACATTGAGTCTGTTGTTCTCAAACCACCTCTAAGCTGCAAAGAATAAGAGCGATTTCGAATTTTGTGATGTGTTTAATCATCTCTTGGTCCTTTATTATTTTATCCATCTCATGTGTGTTTGGGGAATTGAAGGTTGTTGTTTTTTTTTTTTTTTTAAGATTTTATTTATCCATTCATGAGAGACACACAGAGGGAGAGAGAGAGAGGCAGAGACACAGGCAGAGGGAGAAGCAGGCTCCATGCAGGTGAAACTCGATCCCGGGTCCCCAGTATCAGGCCCTGTGCGGAAGGTGGGGATAAACCCCTGAGCCACCAGGGCTGCCCAAGTTGTTGTTGTTGTTTTTGACATCCTTCAATGGATGGACTTTATCTCTGTGAATATCATTGTTGTTTTTCTCTGAACTTCCTTCAGATTTGTTATATCTTTTTTGTGCTCATACCATTCCCTCTTTACTTCCTTAAAAAGTTATTTCTTTCCAATCTGTATTACTCCATTTTACCCCATCACCCCATACATCTCCCCTCCCCCAATCCTTGAAGGTTCTGAGATTGTAGTATTCCCTTGTCCAAAATAGAATTCTCCTCTAGCCCTTAAGGGTCTCTTCAACTGAGCACATAGGTATGGGCAGTGGACAAAATACATAGAAAACTGAGAAAATACAAGGGAAATAAGTCCGTCTAGTAGGACCAAAAACTCTGGAGATCCCTGGGTGGCTCAGCAGTTTAGTGCCTGCCTTTGGCCCAGGGTGCGATCCTGGAGTCCCGGGATCGAGTCCCTCATTGGGCTCCCGGAATGGAGCCTGCTTCTTCCTCCTCCTGTGTCTCTGCAAAAAAAAAAAAAAAAAAAAAAAACCTCTGGGTGCCACTTCCTATTAGCCACACTTTTATACTCATCATAAATGCATAATGGAACCTTATTTATTTTTTTTTTAATTTTTATTTATTTATGATAGTCACAGAGAGAGAGAGAGAGAGAGGCAGAGACACAGGCAGAGGGAGAAGCAGGCTCCATGCACCGGGAGCCCGACGTGGGATTCGATCCCGGGTCTCCAGGATCGCACCCTGGGCCAAAGGCAGGCGTCAAACCACTGCGCCACCCAGGGATCCCCTGGAACCTTATTTAAATTCAAGCCACCTATTGTCATTTTCCTGTTTTGCAAATAAAACAAAACCCCTACCACTTTATTCCAACCTTTATCAAAAAATGTAAAAAGTGTTAAAAATGTGTAATCCTGAGCTTCAGATGCTGATCTCCAAATTCATAGCAAATGGGGAGGGAGGATCAGGATAGAATTTCAGAGTTCCTTCCACTCCAGTAAAAAAGAGAAGCCCCAGGCATGGTATAAGATTAGTAGAACACCAGGGTCCTATAGAGAATGAGACCTCCTTCTCTTCTGAGCTCAATCCCACCACCTCCCACCCTTCTCTTCAATGGAGAAGACTCATTTAAAATTACTGAAACTTGCATAGAAATCTAGTCCGTGGCATATGTGACAGGCAGCTAGCTGACCAAAGAGGCCTATGCCCTTGCTTCTTGGCAGGCAAAATGGGGGACAACTCAGCTTCCACCTCCTTACTACCCTCTTCTTTGCTCTCTTCCTCAGAAACGTCATTGCTTACAGCAATAATCTGGTGCTACTGCATGAACTACATGGGACCAAAATTGGACTTCAGGCAGAAGGTTATAGGTGGTTGGAGCTGGAAGTCCACCCAACTGAGCATGAGTTGGCAGGACAACCTGAGGTTGGTCACAAGGACTGCAATCTTCTGCTGGTCATGATTCTGGGCCATGACTTCTATCACATCACACTTATCTTTGGCCCCTTCCGTGAAGCAAAGCATGGTCAAAGCCAGCACATGCCCCGTGTTACCCTCTTCATCACCAAAGAAACAATGGAGCGGGGACCTGCAGACCCTTGACATACGTGGCCTGGCTGGGTTGTCCTGACTTAAGAATGCTAAGGGGGGGGGAGCATATTGCAAGGTATTTTCTATCAGTTTATCTTTGTCTTAATCAGCTAAATAGTGCATTAACTGGAAGAGTTGTTACATGCAAACTAAAAATTCCATTGTCCATACCCTTCTTGATAATTCATTAAAATGTTAAATAAGATCAGTGCCCATCATTTACACTTTTTCACTTATTCCTGACCCTCCTTATTTGACTTTGGTTCTGTTTCCTAGACAAAAGTTTAAAAACAATTAAAACCAACAACGATAGAAATCTAAAATTCCAGGATAATATCAGTTTTCTAAAAGCCTTTGATGTGGGAATCTATCAAAGGCTTTTTGTTTTTGTTTCTAAGGGATGGGGGAAGAGAGAGAGAGAGAGAGAGAGAGAGAGAGAGAGAGAGAGAGAAAGAAAATGAATCTCAAGCAAGCTCTACACCCAGCATAGAGCAGAGGCAAGGGCTGGATCTCACCATCCTGAGATCATGATCTGAGGAGAAATTGAGAGTCAGATGCTTACCTGACTGAGCCACACAGGCACCCCATCAAAGGCTTTTTTTTTTTAAGATTTTTATTTATTTATTCATAGAGACAGAGAGAGAGAGAGGCAGAGACACAGGCAGAGGGAGAAGCAGGCATCATACAGAGAGCCTGACGTGGGACTCGATCCAGGGTCTCCAGGATCACACCCTGGGCTGCAGGCGGCGCTAAACCGCTGTGCCACCGGGGCTGTCAAAGGCTTTTTGAAACACCAAGTAAGGTCTGCTGGTTCTACCTTGTCCTTCTGTCCATCTATACATTCAGAGAACTCTAGTAGACTAGTTGGGTATGATTCACCTTCACAGAACCCAAGCATAAGAGTACCATGATTTTTTTCCACTTTAATTCATCCACCTTTTAGTTTCTTATTATACCACTTAGCTACACTTTCAAGATGCTGAATTAACTCAGTTTATACATCCTTCAGAATTTAGGTGTGTCTAATTTGAGTTCCAATACATTTTTTAAAACCTCCGATACCATGTGCAAGAACAGTTTCCATGCTCAGGCTAAAAAGTAAATGATTGTTTGCCTTTGAGGAGTTTAAGAGTCTGAGTAGGAAGACAGACTGGGGGAAAAAGAAAGGCTAGTACTAAGATAATATTCAGTAGTGGTGAACAGAATGGATGCTAGAAACATGCAGATTTGGGTGGACATCTGACACAAACCAGGCCAATCAAAATCATTTCTGGAAATTTCTGCCAGACTATCCTAGAATATGTTTCCTCTTAATCTATTTCTCTGGGATTATGACTTTAGAGGACAATGTAGATTTTCTTCTTCAGCTCTGAGGAGAAAGTCAAGAGCAGTAGGAATGAAGACCACAAGAAGAAACAGCTTACTAGAGGGGAAGCCATGACATCATGTGAACTCTCCGGCATGGCTGTGCCCTACACCAATCCACCTCCAATTTTCTCATGTTTATGAGCCATTTAGTTACTCTTACTTTCTCCTTTTTAAAATCTTAAAATGGTTGGGAGTGGGTAAAAATAGTGAGATTCTGTCACTTGGCATCAAGAGTCCTGAATTTGTGTTCTGTTCCTCCTTCTGCTCCCTCCATCAGCAAATGGTACCCCATCCACCTGGACACCTGTGCTGAAAACCTGAGTCATTCCTTGCATTAACTGTGTATTCTGTTTTCTGCTATTCCATTCTGTTCCATACTTTTTCTACCATAAATAACCATTCACTGAAGCCCCTCCTAAGGCTTCTTTCTGGAATACAGTATGGAAGCTGTTTTCTGTTTGCTTGTTTTTTCAGATGGAGAAAGAGAGTGAACAAATGAGGGAAGGGACAAAGGAAAAGGGAAACAGAGAATCCTAACCAGGCTCCATGCTCTCATTGTGGAGCCAACATGGGGTTCAATCTCATAACCCTAAGATCATAACCTAAGTTGAAATCAAGAGTTGGATGTTTACCCGACTCAGCCACTACCCAGGCACCTGAGGAATCTGAGTTTTTGAAATCATGGTAAAAAG